ATTTTGAGAGGTGAAATGGCCTTTGTTAGGCTCATTTCAGTAGACGGTATAAGCTACCTTCAATCTTCCATGTATCGACTATTAGTTTCCTCTCAATTTCTATTCTCTGGTATATTTTAACCCTCCCCCCTTCGAAAATGCTGCATAAAAATTTTCATTTCCATTCAATTTCTATTGAGACAGGAGGAGAGAGGGGATGATTTGCTAAAAATACATTTCCACCGCTTTTCAATTGTATTGATTTTGCATTAAACGTCGTGGCAAATTACGTAACTTTCCTGTGAACACCTGTCTGAAAACTCGTTGGTGAGGTTTTCAGAGAAGAAAGTAATTTTTTTTTTCATTTGCACTTCTTTTATATGGGAAGTATTTTTGTTCTTATGTGAGGAAGCACATTTTCAATTTGTTATTGTGTTCTCTTAAATGATTGTTTGAAAGTTGTATATTACATTTGTGTATATTTATAGTTATGCATATTGAGTTATATATTCTGTATTAAGGTTCTAGTAAAAATGCTTTGAAAGATGTTTAAGAAAACCTATTGGTCTTTGAGAAAAATAGTTATAGCAGACAATTGTACTCATTTGCGTGATAAAAGAGAAAAAGAATATTTTATACTTTTTAACGAAATAAAATACATATTAGTCATGCTCGATCTTTGAATACCATCAAGATTGTGTAGTCAATTATATCTACTATATGTACTGAGTTATCTTCCGAACATTGCCGGAAACATCGCTGTATGAAGTCTAATAGAAAGCAATGCACGTACGTGCTCCGGCACAGGACTTTAACGGCCCACTTTCGAAAATTAACCGCCCACCGACCTTCACATAACATTCTCCATAATTCATCCAACTGTGCCTGCAGCATACAAATAATAAAGGAAATTGACAACAACCTTTGACCTGGCGTGCGACGGTAAGCAATACATTGCGCTAGCGATCATTCTGCTATTTTTAAGGACTCGTCCCAATGCAGAAACCCAATGCATGTTCCAGGTCTAGAGGCTCCTTGCTCTCCTGAGTATTGCAATACACAATTTATTAGAATAGGAATATATATAGGCCATTAATATTAGGTTTCTTTACCCCAGTCATTAAGTTATTTACTGCAAGAAATTAGTAATATATGGCTGTACTCTTCTTTCTGAAATTGAATTTTGAACAAAAATTGTAAGATTTGAAGTGAGCTTGAAATTGAACTTCACATCATAGCACATTTAAATTTGATATTAATATTTCTTGTAGAAAAAAAACTTTTTTATGGAACAAAACCAACACTAAAATTGGTTAAAATATTATAGTCAATCAAACCATTATGTAGGGGCTAAATAATTTGTAGTCAATTACCTTTTCTCATTTGCGCCGTAAAAATGTAATGTTGGCTTTCTACAACAAGCAAGTAAGTTTGTTTTCTTTTTCTGTGAGGTTGCAATTTACTACGACAAAACTCTTTGGAAGGGGAGGAAATTCTTTACGTAGTCTAAAGATCCACTTAAGATCTAATAGATAAAAGCTAGTTGTAACATGCCTCCTCGTAATATTTTAGAAAACATGGTCAAAAAATCAAAGGGGAAGAGTGAATGTAATAATTCTCTGAAATGCTTTGACGCAATCCAATTACTTTGTTTTGGTGTGCTACTGTGTTACTACAATTATTGTTAATTAATAGCTTTCAAAATTATATTTTTCGCTTCATATTCATGATGAATGAAACTGATGTACTTGTACTACATGTAATTAGTGTTCATAAATAATTATATATTACATTATAGATATTAGTAGGGGGTCGATTACACATTTATTTCCTCTGAAGAGAAATAGGTAACTACTCGTTTTCTTGTATTCATAGAATGGTAATAAATTGTAGTTATCATTGATACTGATATTATTTACATAAGAAAAGCAAATATTCGAGGCAAATGTACCGAAAAGAAGTCATCAGTAAAAATATAAAGTATCGGGTCTCCCTTCAATGAATAGTGAATAAATTTACGTTCTCCAGAAGTGCAAAGGCGACAGTAATTTCCCAATTAAAGCAAATTGTATCTCTCGCGCAACTTTTTTTTTCTACGTTGTATTAATAACATATTTCAAAATGGCATTGTAATTATAATATTGAGTTGGGACTGGAAATCGTACTTACTCTATTAAGCAAGAAAGGTTTCTCCCCTTTTCTAGTTCCACTTCTTATCTTTGTTTTACGGACTAAGTTAGGTCACATTCAGTTCCGAACTAGTTTGAAGGAATTATCTCTTAAAAGCATTGCAAGTGAAGCATGTCACTTCTTAAGATACGATCCAATGAATATTGAATGAATCGATAAGCAAAACCGGAATATCACTTCATTTAGATTTATTTTTAATTTATGTAGTAACGTATTATATGTTTATGTAATATAAAATAATTAGCCAGTAATAGCGATAGTATATAAAAAGAGAAGAGCTTATAAAAAAACTTTTGGCGAATTAACACGAGATAACGCGAAATAGGGCTCATTCAAGACACTATTGTGACAGACATTTATACGCACACACATTTATGTGTGTGTGTTTTGAGAGAGAGAGAGGGAGAGAGGGGGGAGTGGAGAGAAGGGGAATGTGAAGGACAAGTATGGGGTAAAAGTAAGTAGGTACACTAGGCATCACTTGCAAGGAAATTGAAAAAAAAAAAGTGGTGAAAATGCCACGGAAAAGGTCTGGATTTTAAGAGATTGACTCTGTGAATACCCAAGATCTGATTTTTAACAAAGTCTTCTAATGTATCTCCACTGAAACATAAGAGGAAATTCAACTTTCTGATGGAAGAAAAGTGAGAAAATTGAAAATTGAACAGCAATACTTAATTTTTTCTCAATTGTTACACAAATTTTGCATTTGTCACTACTTGTCCCTCGCAAATCATTGGGTCAATTACCTAGGACGTTAGGAACAATAGCTGGATCAAAAATTATTCGCAACCTTAAAACTACCGCCCCTGAAGTCTTCTAATTTTTTTCTCAAAACTCCCATATTTTCAAGCAGAAAGTTGAGAATTTTCATGGGACATTTTACAATTACTCTGTATTTTCATTTTTACCAAAGCATTTAGTATAAAATTATTTATTTTCAACTAATTGAACGTGCCCAAAATACCGCACTGGTTATTTCATTAATAACACAGGCGCAGAAAAAAAGATGGTCAGACCTAAAGACGTTTCTCTATGTATATCAACGCGGTGAATCCGAATCTGAAGCGAGATTTGCGCCGCCACCATCCAGTTCTTTTAAATCGCAAACAAACACCGTGGAACTTACAATCTACAACTTCGCGATGAATTTTCGCGATTTAAAAAATTGGAGGGTGGTGGCTTCTGATTCGTATTCAGCGCGTTGATATACATTCAGAAACATGTGTCAAGTCTTAGAGTCTGACAACTGAATGTGTGTGTATGTGTGCGTGCGCACGCGCGCGCACACACACACACACACACACACACACACACACACACACACACTCACTTACTCACTCACTCACTCACTCACTTACACACACTCACACACACACAAACTCAAACACACACACTCACACACACTCATACTCACACACACTCTCACACACACACACACTCACACACACATTCTCACACACTCACGCACACTCGCGCGCACACTCGCACACCTACCACACACACTCTCACACACACTCTCACACACACTCGCACACACACTCGCACAAACACACACACACACTCACACACTTCCACTTACAAGCACTAGCATAACATGCCCGGAGACCAGTCAGGAGCCTAGACCGTGTCACGGTGCCACGCTGGCGGGAGATACCGTGTTGAAGGAAACCCCGAAAGTGGCCTTATAGGTCGGCGCTGAATCACACCATCTAGCTGAGGAAGATGGTCGGCATTTCCTGCGATTAAAAAATTCACTATATTTAATGGACTAATGACCTTAGCAGTTGACTCGCCCGGAATTACTAATCAATCAATCAATCAATTCGACCAAATGAACGAATTAAAACTGCGGCGCAAAACGCTGGCGGAATATTTAGGCGAAGTGCGCATTGGTGTGTGTAACCGGCGAGACAGCGCCCGCTCCGCCTCAGCTCAGGCGACGACGCGCGCGTCCGGAAGCCCAGCTCGCGAACGGCGAGGGCGCGTGAGGCGCGGACGCATGGGCGCGTGACGCACTCACACGCGCGCGCGCACGCTCGTGGTGGCGCACGCGCCGTGGCTGGCGAGCACGGCGCCACCACCACCGCCACCGCCGCCCTCGCCGCCGCCTTGTTGCGGTTTCCCGGCGGGAAGTGGCCGCGGGCCGCGACGAGCGCACATGGCCGGCCAAAGCAGTCGCCTTTGTCGCCGAGCCTCCAGCCCGTCGTGCGTCGCGATTCTCGGGAGCTTCTCGTAGTAAGTACGTGGCCGCTTGGTTCTTGCTTCTGCTCTTCCGGAAAGGTCAAAGTTGTGCGCTTTTCGCCCGACAGGAGTGACAAAAGCGTAGGGTACTGACGTTGGGGAAATCGCCCCGCCGGATTGATCAAAGAGGCAGGAGAATCATTAAACAAAATGAGGAAACTTGGATTGCAAATTATGTAGCAATTCCACACAACTACCTTTTTGTAGAATTTAGGGAATTATACTTCCAATAGACTTCTAATACTGTGAATTATTGAATTTTATGGGAAGCCAGAGCTTTCTACTGTTATTAATCTGTACAAATTTATGTGCATCGACAATTTCACCATTTTATCTTCTTTTACTACGACTTTGGAAATGTACTGCTTTCAGCAGAGCTTCCAGCTTTATTTAATTGTATCAAGGTAATCGAGCTCCTGTTTTAGGACGTCACGTGAAAAATGAAAACTACGACCGGCCCGAAATATGAGCCTCAGCTGTAGAGTGTAGGAACATTGTTTTCACAGTATTCTTGAATAATTCAACATTATATTATACACATTATTTACATATTCAACATATTATTATTATTATTATTATTATTTCAGTTTAATCACGTAAGGCTAATTTTCCACATTTGCCAGTCATGGAAGTTGCAGATTCTACCGCAAATTAGATATTCACAAATACGAGCTTTGTAATTGTATCGTATGTTGACTTGTCAAGCAGTAATGAGTCATCGCTCGTCTACAATTTCTCGCATCTAGTAAACCACGGTACTTCACGCGCTGTATTTTGAAGCTTCGTAATTCCCAAACGGCCTCGTGCACTCCATGAAGTTACTAATCTCCGTATGGAATCCAATATGTCATAATTGAATATCTCTTGCAGCTACAAGACGATTCCAGATCAGTCAGTTCCTTGGTACTCATTTCCGTGTTCCAAATTCCACAGTTCCTAGTAAATGCATATTTATCAAACACGTTTTCATTACTTACTTTACGTTTGTCTAATATTTCACACCTTCCTCCAGCTTCGCGAGTCATCGATATACTATCAACTGACTGCTTCCTGGTATCAAGAAAACTTCGCCTTTCCATCGGGAGAGTAAGACACTTCACCTTTCGACCGTGGCCTACTCGATTGTCGCGGACCGCCTCACCCCCACCCCCCATGCTGCCCTGCTTCGCCTGCTGCCATATCCAACGCCCGCGCCACACACGCCCGCCTACACCTATCTCGCCCACACCGCCCGTTTCGTATGCTTTTCAAGTCTCGCTCCGCGTCATCCCAGCCCTCTTCCTGGTTGCCCAACGTCTCGCCCCGGCCTCATTTCCCTCCCCCCGCCCACATTTGCCGGCGCCTGCCCAAAACTCCCGCTTTAAACTGCCCCGCCACCCTAAGCCCGCTCAAACTGCCGCCCAACCTCCAGCCCGCTCACACCGCCCCGCTCAACACCCCCCGCTCACAACCGCCCCGCTCAACCAGCCCGCTCACACCGCCCGCTCAATCACCGCCCCGTCAACACCGCCCCGTCAACAACACCGCCCCGCTCCAACCGCCCCGCTCAACACCGCCCGCTCACACCGCACGTATTTCGCACTTGCCTAACACGGCTGTCCCCGCCACTGCCGTTTTCCCGCTTCACCGCGTCCTGCATGCCTGCCCTGAGCGCCCGGCCCACCCTCTCCTCGCGCGCCGGTGCCTGCCTGCTGTCTTTCCGCCCACCTCGCTCTTCCTGCCGGACCTCACCTCTGGCTTCATAGGACCCCGCGTGCCCAGTCTGTCCACCTCGCCGCGCTATCTGCTTTTCAAGTCTCGGCGCGTATCGTCCCCGCCACTCCTTTCCCGCCGCTGGCTCGGCTCTGCGCCGGGCGTGGCGGGGGGCGGCACGCGCGTCTGACCGGTTTTATGCCCGCGCGG